TCAATTGGTGCTGCACAGGTATTGTGCCGTGGGCTTTTGAGCCATTTGTAGCTGTGACTGAGCTTCCTGTGGCTGAAACAACGCTAAACTAAAAAAAGGTGGACTGTAAAGTTTATTGATAATTCTCTGTGGCTTCATCACTACAAGTGACCACTACATGAACCATTGCAAAAAATATTAATTGTAGCAGATTTAACTTAGTTCTAACCTAAACCACTTATTTGGAGGTGAAACAAAAGTGAACTGATCCAAAATATCTGTTCTTTTATAAATCTGCTTGTGTACATAATTACATTAAGTATGGTAGGTGTAAGTTGAAGCACCCGTGGCTGTTAGCAGCAGCAGGTTTTGGACAATGATTTTAATGTTGCTTAAGTGGTTTCCAAAATACAGTTAAACTATGGACTTGTTTAAAACCTGTCGGATTGCTGATGTGGTTGCCACATGGACTTAGTTGTAAAGACGATTCTAGCAGAGTTAATTGGTTCCCAGATCTCAGCAATAAAGTTGGCGCCTGAAATGTCATTAAATATAAAAGTCAGGGCAAATAAATGCTACATGTTCTTTGTTTGTATACTGTACAAAGCCAAATGCTCCTTAACCTCATGTTGCCATTTTGTGTAAATTAAGTTTATTAGTCGCACTCATAAATGCACATCTGTTATTTCTTTCAGGTTTATCAAACACTTGGATCGTGGTTACAACTCCTGTGCTAGAACAGACCTGTTCTTCACTCCACTTTCATCCTCCAAGCTGGCCAAGAAAAGGGAGGAGGCCGTGGAAAAGTCAAGGAGAGAGACTGAGCTCAGTGCTCGGCAAGACCGCGAAAGGGAGAAAGACCGAGAGAGAGAGAGAGAAAGAGAGGCAGACAGACATTCTGTAAGTATAACAATTCCCTTCATTCCATTTTTTTAAGCACATTCTCACGAAAACGTGTATGAGTTCTCACACGCTACCTTTGCTTACAGAGAGCCTCCAGCTCCTCTCACGACAGTCGTACGAGTGATGTTCAGATAACATCTCAGAGCCATGGACGCCCCTCCTTTGAGCAGCCACCCACCACTGTTGCTGCTGTGCCCCCCTATATTGGCCCTGATACACCTGCCCTGCGCACCCTGAGTGAATACGCCCGACCCCATGTCATGTCACCCACCAACCGCAGCCACCCTTTCTATGTGTCACTGAGCCCTGGGGAACCCTTGCTGGCCTACCACATGCCACATGGCCTGTACAGCGCTGAACCCAGCCTCAGAGAACGGGAGCTGAGGAACCTCCGAGAGAGGGAGCTCCGGGAGAGGATGAAGCCTGGCTTTGAGGTCAAGCCCCCAGACATGGAAACTTTACACCCCTCGGCCAACCCCATGGAGCACTTTGCCAGACACGGGGCGATTGGTCTTCCCCACATTCCCGGGCCTCCCCACCCCTTCGCAGCATTCCACCCCGGGCTGAACCATCTGGAGCGGGAGAGAATGGCTCTAGCAGGACCTCAGCTGCGCCCGGAGCTGAGTTATGCAGAGCGACTCACTGCCGAGCGGCTTCACGCAGAGAGGATGGCGTCTGTGGCGACTGACCCTGCCGCCAGGCTGCAGATGCTCAATGTGACACCGCATCATCACCAGCACTCTCACATTCACTCCCACCTCCACCTGCACCAACAGGATCCCCTCGGTCAAGGTGAGGCCAGATTTATTGATTTCACTGATTTTGAGAAGGGAATTAGTCACCAGTAATCCATTCACTGGTGTGAAGTTGACCTTCATTTATTGTATGATTGATTTCTTCATCCAGGTTCAAGCCCTCATCCTCTAGTGGACCCCATGGCAGCAGGACCACGTTTGGCCCGGTTCCCCTTCCCTGGTGGCCCAATCCCCAACGCTTTACTCAGCGAACTTCCTCATGATCACGAGATGTTGCGCCATCCACTGTTTGGTCTGTCATCTCTACTCTTTAACATGCTCACAGCCCAAAACTTGAGTCTTCTCTGAGTGCAGCACGTTCACTGTGGTCTTTTTATATGTTTATATGTTTTCCACAGGAGCTGCATACCCACGAGAGCTGCAGGGCCCGATTCCTCAGATGTCTGCTGCTCACCAGCTTCAGGCCATGCACGCACAGTCTGCAGAGCTGCAGAGGATGGCGATGGAGCAGCAGTGGCTGCATGGGCATCACCTGCACGGAGGCCCTTTACCGAGTCAGGAAGATTATTACAGGTGAGGTTTTTGAAAGTCTTATGTAGTGCAAGGGCTGAAACATTTACTTGATGAATTCAACTATGTTTTATAATATTAATCCTCAATTCAGATGCTCTGCTTCTCTATGGGATTACACATTCGACCAGTACGAGCAATACTGTGTATTGACTGCGAGATTTCTTTTTAACATTGTAGTGATATGGAGCAGTATTTTTATGTCTGGGGGGGGGTTTGTTTGTTTGTTTGTTTGTTTGTTGTTGTATTGTGCAGTTGCACGAGGATTGGTTTCATGCTATTCCACTGATCTACACTAAGAAATGTAGCAATGTGCTAAAAAGGCGGTGAAGAAGAAGTGCAAGAAAGTAAACATGCATATAAACAATGCTGCATTATAAATATGAAAGAAATTGGCTTTGCAAAAGAAAATCTCATCTTTCACTGATTAAAAAGCATTTTATTATTATCAAAGCTTTGCAGCTTCATGGGAATTCATTATGCATAAAATCCTTAGTATTTGCTCAGTGATTGTTGTAATTACATGTTTTCTCTACTGTTATTCCACATTGCTTGGTTAAACTCTTATTTACCTTTTTGTTTCTGTTTTCTAAAGCCGTCTGAAGAAAGAAGGTGACAAGCCATCTTGAGTCCCAGGTGGTGCATGCACTGAAACCCTACACTCATACCCTATAGAATACTGTGTACTGAAAACTGTAAGAGAACATTTGTGTGTATCTTTTTCTTTTGTTTGTTTGTTATAATATATTTTAGAAAAATCTTTGCAGATCTTTATGTGCATTCCTTGTTCGGCACTTAATGGGACTGTCAAAGTCCGTCTGAGCTTTTCATATCACTTAAGACTTTATACTAGTTTTATTATCAAAGTAATGACCAATCTCGCCCAGTCAAGTGAGATTTAAAGTGACAGATTTTCTCTAACAAACTGTAAAACTATTTCATATGCAGTGATATGAATTTGTTCAAATATGGCTCTTATAAAGGATATGAAAACAGACTGGCTTTGGTGTTAAGTTTAAATATCCCTATGATTTCCTTGTACAGAATGACAGTTAAATCAGTGTTTGAATGATTGTAATGACCTAGCATGACTCAAGTCTTCATTTTTCACCAAACTAGAGTAGCAAGTTGCATCGTGGTGTTTAGACTTTGAAAGTATAGTAGAGGTCGGATTAATCTTAAATCTGCTAAATATTTGTCTAAATCCTAAAGTTTTATATATCAAGATATCTTTTCACAGTATAACCGAAGCTTTTATTCACTCATTTTTGAGATTGTAAATATTACATGTTAACAATATTCTGTATGAATGAGTACTATTGACATAGCAGTAGGTGTGAACACTTGACCCTTTTATTCAGCACGATAGCAGTAAATCCTAAGCTAAAACAGTATATGGAATTATAAGGCGAGATAATTATTAATTGGATTGTGAAACTGTCACTACAGACAGAAAGTTTATTAGAATAATGTATTTACATTGTTTTGAATTGGAGAGAAACTTAATCTGGAGCATTTTAATGGAATTTCTAAAATTTAATTTCAATATTTATGTGACATAATATGAAAGTGTATCCATTGCATATTTATTTCAATAAATATTTCTGCAATGACACCTTACTTTCTTTGCACTTTCATCTGTTTGAAAGAAAAAAAAAAAACCTGTTGTGTATACACTGAGAGTTTATCATGTACAACAGTTTTAAACATAATGCAGTTTAATCCAGCATAAATCCTCCCTTCTTGAAGGTTATAATGTTCACTTTTTGGTGAAACAGTTTTAGTTGTTCACCTGTCCCTTATTTTCAAATCTGCAGTTTGTGGCGATGTTGAACTGAACTGCATTATACTGACAGGTGTTTCTGATATATCCTGACTGCATTCGTTTTAGTTAGGTGTACCTAATAAACTGCACCTGCATGTATATCATGTGGGAAAATAACAATATAGTCGCAGTGTGGCATATTCATGGTTTTAATGCATTAAATCACTTTATTGCACAAAATCGGTCATATATGTAAAATCATATGTATGCAGTCTTGTTTGACAAGAGATATGAAGTGCTGTGACAACAATCATTTGCTTGATTGTTTTTACGCAACATAATTTTAAACGGTGAAAGTGGTAGCAACAGTTAATTTAAGGTTAATAAATCAAAGCACCTTAGAAAGCAACACCAAATGGATATGTCAGTTCTAATGTAAGTTTTGCTGTTGTACATATGCAAATGTATTAATTAGCTATACTTAAAGCTTACATTAGCAGCAGATGCACTGGCTTTTTCACTATACAGTATTTTAGACCATTGGTTCCCAACCTGGGGGTCTAAGGGGTCGTGAGTTTATTACCTGGGGTAGGAAGTAAGAAAAGTCTACACTTCCGGTATAGGATGTTCAGACTTGTTTCTAAAATCTGCCTTTACCTTACTGTGTAATTTAATACTGTACAGTTTTAGCTCTTCTGGCCTGTAGAAAAATCAATATGAACTGCTCACAACTCATGCAGACTGTGATGACGGGTCTCAAGTAAACATGGCTTTGCAAGGGGCACAAAAAAAGTTTTAGAAAGATGCCTCCCAATTTTAAACAGCTTAAACAGTCACCTATGGAATCTTTTCGTACAATATGCATACAAACCAGACCAATATCTACAATGCAACGTTCTTTCAGGTTTCCCTCCCCTTTTTTCTCCTCTACAAAGACACCCCACGTACACTTTTCATCTGTTTAAAAACTCTCCAAGCTGCCATTACAACTTAGCTTGACTGCAGCTGAATGACATACAAAGCTGTGGTTTTTTTTGGCACAACAGTACATAACAGCATGTTAAAAGGTATGAGCTTCTGTGCTTAAAAGAGTGGTCCATTTATCAACATCAGTTTACCAGAACTGAAAAACCAAAGTAATTACAAGTTAAAAATGCAGCTTAAATGTTTTCTGCGTAAAGGGTAAGACTGGCCATATGCTATATTTTCCATGAAAAGACCAAAACCAACGTGTTAGTCCGTCTCTTATTACTCTCCTCTCATTCCCAAGCCAATTTGTGCCTTTTGAGGATGAACATCTTTACTGTAATTTAAAAAAACTTTTCACTGTAGTGTTTAGCAAACCTAACTGAGACCATTAGGATGATGAACTCTTAATTATGTAGTCTGCCTACACATGTGAAATATCTTTCTTATACTGAAAATTCTCAATGCTTACATTTTTATTATGTTCTATCTTTGAAATGTTATCCTTGACATTTTGTTTTTCTAATCCTTATTTATTACTTTTGTTCTGTCTATTGTTCTTGCACATTAGCCACCCCCGCATTTCACTGCACACACTGAAAATATGTGACGAACAAATCTCTGAATCTTGAACAGGAATCTTGAAATAGTGCATTTGTTGGAAACTGTTTTCAGCCCCAGACTTATCCTTTACCTAAAAATGTGAAAAGCACTGAAAACATCAGTTTGATAACTCCTTTACATGCTGTACTGTAACCAATGCATACACTGGCTGACAGTGCATATGTAATATATAGTATATATACAGAGCATATTTTCGGATGGACCCAGGTGAAAATGTTTGGAAATCTCTTGGACATCGCTTGTGTGTACACATCAGGGACCATCTTGAGAGGGATTCTTCTTCTTCACATACTGCCGCAGGTACTGGATAGCCGACAGCGCACTCACATTTGCTAGCAGAGCTAAATGGGATTTCAATAAAGGTTACTACTTTGTAGAATCTGTATGCCAGTTTATCAAGTTATACAGTACTCTTCATGTTCGGTAGTTAAAGCCCCTGAACACCTGGTAGTATTATTGTATTTCTCACTTAAGATTCTCTACTAAATAAATCAAACTTAAAATGATTTTCAGTTCATTTACATTTTAATTTTAACTGGAGAAACAGTGCAGCATAAAGGCAAGACAGAAAGAGAATAATAAAATACTATGTTTTTTTTTTTTTTTTATGCAAAAATAACCTCCAAACAACTGAACAACCAGTTCCATACCTGCTTTCCAGGCATCAGCAGCCTCTGGATCAGAAGATCTTAATACCCACGAGGCAAAAGCGATGCAGACCAAACACATGTCTGATTGCTTCAGTGTTGAGAAGATGCCCTCCCGTCCTGCACAAAAAGTACATTTCATTTAAATGCAGTTTTGCTTTGGATGTGGGATTTATTTCCATCCAGTCCTCAGACTTACTAGTTGTGTGTATAGTTTCCCAGATCCTCTGCTGCACAGCCAGCTCAGAAAACAGCTGAGAAGGAGCTGAAGAGACTCTCCCCTCAGTGAGCACAGTTATTGGTGCTCTCTTGACGGTGATCTTCTCAGTTTCAACTGGAAACACCCAGGTACCGGACCTCCCCCACCAGATGCTACCTTTGTCGTGGAAACAAATCTTCCTCATCGAAACCAAACCTTTCCAGCTTTGAAATCCATGTGCGGCTGCAGCAGATGTAACACAATCGCTGCCCTGGGTGATGAAAGAGCGAGACGCAACTCTGATGGGAGAGACCTCCTCGTGGTCTGCGCTCAAGAAAACATAGTCCGGGTTTGGGAATGTGAGTTCTCTGATGGTGGAACGAGAATAAGAGAAAATGGGGATGGGTTTCTCCTCACTGCGCTGGGAATCACGGAAGCAAGAGGATGACATTTCATCCCTGAATGTATGGAGAGTGAAGTCAAACACAGGAGCCACGGAGATGTCCTCTGGATCATAGACAGTTACACACCGAGAGTCTCTCTTTGCTTTATCCTCTTTAAAAAAGTATTCAAACACTTCAGGGAAGGATATGGGATGATATTCCGCCAGTGCGTCTGAGTTGGATTGAAAATGTGCAGGGATCAATTTTCCCAGGCTGTTACTGGCTGTGAACGCCACATTTTCCTCCGGAGATGGGTAGCTGCTGTGGAATAGACTGCACTCGTCACTACCAAGTAACAACTGCAAAGATGAATCCTCTGTGCTGAGAGCTTGTACGTTGTGCACACTTCTGGTTTTTACTATCCGCCTCGGTCGTGCAAATTCTCTTGAAATGACAGCATCTGAGTGCTGATCCTCAAAACACCTACCTGAAAAGTCTTCTGAAGGCACAGGTGTCTCCTTTCCGTCAGAGATTGTAGACGACTCCTCCTGGTGTGCAAAGAAAGTAGAGTTGCTTGCCCGTTGTTGGCTTTTGCCCTGAGGGTCAGGACTGGGGTTCCTGCTGGCACCAAGAAACTGCCAGTACTCTTCTTCAAAATCGGAGGTGGAAAACTCGCAGCTTGAGCGATCTGGCTTGGATTCGTCAGTCTGCGTGAAATAGTCAGAGTCAACAGTGTCGGACGCGTCCATTGAACAACCACCAGACAAGTTGTACTCCACAGTGTCAACCAGAGAGCTGCGATTTGTTGGGAAATCTCCCACATTTGGTGTCGCTGTTTCTAGTGTTTCCCTGGGTGGTGTGCTCCTTCCAGTCCTAAGCTGCAAAATATCATTTATGGTCAGTTTTTCCATTTCATCCCAAAAAGCAGAAATGGCATACACAGGTCGAGTGTGGCCCGCAGCTGAGGCATATGCCTCAGGGCTCTCGGCCACAGAGCAAGGCGTTACAGTTAAATTGGGAACAGGGGGGTGACTAAGCTGAGCTGCTGAAGAGCAACCAGATGCTGAAAGATAAATGTTGTGTTTTTGGTGTCCAGGTTGAAGCCTATCAAAGGGCACACAGGGCGCCGTGCTGTGTGTGTAGTTATCACACATGGAGTTGTCATCTGGCATCGTGTTAGCACTTTGGCTAGCAGATGGAAATGTCAGGGCAGGCTCAGCATCAGCGCTTTCATAGCCTTCAGAGTTAGTAGCTGTTAAATCCTTGGTATTCTCTGTCAGGTTGAACAGATCGCTGCTTTTTGTCGGAGACGATGAGTATTGCAGACGTTGGTTTTCCACGAGAAGATGCTGATGTTCCTCCACTGATTCGGCAGCTGACAGGTGGCTTTCAGAATGATAACTGTGAGTGGAGAAGAACTCAGCACTGTCCTCAAGCTCCTCAGACTCCACGCTGTCCAACCGTGAGGGCTCTCCGTGTCTAAATGTGCGATGCGCGGTGGATGCTGAGCTGCTGGGGTCATGTTTGTTTGTCTCAATTATGCTCTCTTCTGGGAAATGACAAGTTACCAGTTTTTCTGACAAATTGTCGTCGTCGCCAGTTGTTAAAGACATTTGTGATACATCTGAAATGACTCCCATCTGAACGCTCTCAGGATTTTCTTCAGCACTTGGATGCCCTCCTGAGTTTTGTACATAGTTTTGGTTTGACTGTGTGACATACTCTGTGTCCCTCCCTCCCACAGATTTCTTATTGTAGTTGTTTATCTCTAACTCTAAGCCAGATTCATGGGATTTCTCCTGCCCAGGGGTTCTGCACACCTGATCGTCCTTACGAGTTTTTTTTTGTCTGCGTTTTTTTTTCACAGAGGGGCCACGCACCCTCTGTCGCGCGGGACTGTTATTCACTGTCACGAACCAGCGCTCTTTTTCTGCCCTGACAGCGACACTGCTCACGTCCTCGTGCGTAGCAGTGTGTGGCACATTCACACTTAGTTCCGTTTGGTTGCACGATTGTGGGTCCGGTTCCTGTATGGATTTAAGTTTGCAAGAGACACTCTCTGTTTGCAGATCCCCGCCTTCTTCTCTCAGCTCTCCATCTGAAGACTGAACGTTTGTTAGCAGTGTTGTTGTAATGTTGTCATTTGTCTCCTCTGTGGTATGCACCTCTCCTGTGTTTTTAGTATTTCCTCCAGGATAAACGAGGCATATGTGCGAGCTAACCCGTGTTTCAACCTCTTCTCTAGCTTTGGTGGTAAGATCATCCCGCCCTCCTCTTGAACCACTCTGATTCATCTGCACTTTTTCCACGCGGCATCCTGCAGCGTTGCTTCCAGCTTCGTCTCTGTTTGCAGCAGAGCTCTGCCGCGGCTCCTGTTGACCTGTACTGAAGACTGAACATGAGTTTCCTGAATCCTCTGAATCACTAAGGCTCAAGTTATCAGGGCAGGCGAGCGATGGTTGCAGCAGACCGCACTCCTCACTCTCGTCATAGAAGCTCGTCCAGTCATATTCCGCAATGTGCATGCTGTGATCTAAATCATCCATTTTGATATCTCACATGCTCTTAAGTCTGAAAAAAAGAAAGAAGAGAAAAACGCAAGGAAAATCAGTGTTAGAAGGTTGCAGGTTTTGGTATATTGCATAAAAAATAATGAAATGTGTAGCACATTCTTGGTGTCTTTGCTGGGTGTTACTTAATTACAACAACACATTTGAGTTAAATAGAGACTGCATTTTCCTCAAGCTTATCATTGCTTGTAATCGGCTGTCATTAGGACACTGTAGTGCAGAAAGCAAACAAGCTCCTGTGTTTAAAGCTGCAAAGCAACACCAGTTCACCGTGGTCACAAGCTACATAACAGACCCCAAAATACCCGTGGCCCTGCTCTAAGTCATATGACCTGATATGAAAAATTCAGCTGGTCAATGCCAAAGTTTAACAAACACACTCAGTCCAAGAATCTTAGTTACTGTCGGTCATAGCAGAGACATAGTAGTCAACATAATAATACATTTGACAAAATGTGCACCAACTGAATATTAGTGTGTGTGTGCTTGTGTAGCACTGTCACAGCGACACATTTGGCACTCCTGGAGTGCAGGCCTCATGGGTCCACAGAGAAGCCTGCAGGCCTTACACTAATATTTAAACATAATAAAACATTACTGTTTTTGTGTCAGACACAAACTGAAATTCAAAGAAAACACATTTTCTTTTGTTGTTACAACCAACCCAGACTCTTGTAGCCATGAACTAGCTTACCCTTATAGCTAAAACATTAGCACTAACAGCTTGCATGAAAGATATCTACATAGACACACAATAAACAATAAGTTTGATGAGTTTAACTAGAAAGCAGGCAATGCTATAACAAAAATAAATTAAGTAAAAATATACATTAGTTCCTCAAAATCGTTGTTTTCCTTCTATAATTGGCTGTGCCTGCCATATGGTGCTACTTTTTCACTGAGGAACATTGACTAAACTGAGCATTGCAGCATAGTTGGATGACAATGATAATGCTAATCCAGCACTACTATATAGTAGAATCCATGTTATTTCCACAGTCCGATTTAAAACACATGAACACACCAAAGTTGGAAGAACGACTTCCCAACTCGGGAAATGGGACCACCTGAGGAGCACCTGAGGAGCACATGAATGCAGCATTGTTCCTGATTGGAGAAATTGGACGTGTTACGACTGACCTGTGTTACAACCATCCCCGGTCTCCCCTACACAGTCTAATGTCATCTTTGTCTCATTTAAAATTGCGCCAACTCAAATAATACTTTAAGTGTGTCTTATATTTTGTATTTAATAAACACATTTTTTAGTATTGTTTTAGTAATAAAGTTGTTAGGATCACTGTTTTATTTCTCGATAATGGATGTTATTAAACTCCTTCCCTTGCTCTTTGTCAAAGTCATTAAAGGTCTTGTGTACTAACATT